TTTGACACTTGGCTTTATTTTCTTACTATATTCTGAAGTTTACTACTTTTTTGCAGCTGTACAGTTTTTCCAAGATGTGAATGTTTTATGATTTATTATAAGATTTATGATCACTGAGTCTTCGGATGATGAGCATAAAACCTTTGGAATGTTTCTGATTTCTGCCATATTTTAAACCTAGAAAGTAGGCTTTAAATTTGAATGAGGGACCCTGATGCCATTAAATAATGAGTTTTTATTCTTCATCTAATTTACATCCTTACCTTTTCCTACCCTTTGGTATCATCTGGAGGGCTGGTTCTAACTGTTCATTCTCGTGAAACTTTCCTGCCAAATGGGATCAGATCAAGTTTTATTGTTGCCCCAGTTTGCAAAAAACACTTCAGGTTTTTCAGAGTTTTGGGGATCTTAGTATTGCAGGTAAGGAATTTCGGGCCTGTAGTAAAACCAGATAAATAGCATGTTGTGTGTGAATAATGGGATGGTTTCGGGATGCAGCTGACTTTGCTTCCTTAGTTGCCAGAAAGAACTGTTTATGTGAACCCAAAGGCTCTGTGCCCGGAGAGAGAGCGCGTGTCACTTCTCTGAGGGCCTGAGGCAAGGGCACTGTGGCTGGAGCAGAGAGCGGACTCTGTGGAAGACGGAAGTCTAGGACTTCTGGGACGGGCTCGGGTGTGCTTAGTCTTCATCCTGAGAACATCAGGAGTCTGTGAGTGATTTTAGCTAGGATGGCCTTGATCCATTTTGTTGATGATTATGACATATATGTCATTTGGCTTCTGAGGTTTTATAGTAGCTCAATAACCATGTATTGATTGAAGAAATTAATAATTTTTTATTTAAAATCAAACTTTTGTTTGACGGTAAGTGTCACTGTGATTCTAGTTATATTCAGATTGAGTTACCGGCTGTTACGCTTCCTCATTTCCTTACTTGATTTAAATGTATTTCAGACTGTTTTTGATACTTGCTATTACTTCTGCATTCATGTAGAGCAGAATGTCTGAAGACATTTCTGTGTGTTTCTTTTTGCTTGTCTCATTAATATCCCTGAGGTGCAGCCTCTTGTAAGGTGTCAGCGGAGGGAGTGCATTGCTTTAGGGGCCGCCAAGTCCCTTCCTTTTTGTTGGTCTTTATTCAAAGTTGTGCGTATCTTCAGTAGCTTACTTAACATTGTAGACTTTTCTTCTGAATACTTTCAGCTGCTTTCAACTTTTTCTCTACACCAAAGCTTTAAAAACAGATCAACTCTTCTTAAAAGCTGTTTATAGAGACTCAGCCTTCTTGCTCCAAACTTTACAAATGTGCTACTTTGAAGTTTGAAACTGCAGTTTTAGGTTATGATCTGTGGGTCTTTTCCAGTCTGCCTGTGGGTGTGTTTCCTCATTATTCTTCCTACATAAAAGAGGTAAAACTCCAAAGTTATAGTTTATAAAACTTACATTTTCTATATATATATTTTTTTTTATTTTTGGGCAGGGTCTTGCTATGTACTTCAGGGTAGATTTGAACTCACTGCATAGTCCTGGGTAGTCTTGAACTCTCAGAGGTCCTTCTGCCTCAGCCTCTGAAATGTTGGGATTACAGATGTGCGGGATCATGTCTGGATACCTGAAGTTATGCTTTTGTATACTAAAAAGTATAAAATAATTTGGCAGTTACTCCCTTTGAACACAAACATTGTGGTGATAAACTCTTGGTTTTCTGCTTGGAGATGTTATTTTCCTCTCCTTCTGGAACCTCAGCTGAAGGATCTAGGCAGCATCTTGAAGGTATTCTTCTGTATTCAATCGGTTCCTGTCTTAGTTATTTTTCTATTGCTGAGATAAAATACCTGACACCCAAAGTTAAAGGAGTAAAGGTTTTCTTGTAGCTCATAGTTTGTAGAGGTTTCAGTTCATAGTTGGCTAGCTCCATGCAAAGGGGCATCACAGAGGAAAAAAAGTCCATGGCAAAGCAGGAGGAAGAAGTCAGCCAGTAGTAACGTAGAAAGCAATAAGGGATAATAGCGGCCCTCTTTCTACCCCTTTCTGTCCCTTAGAGCGGGTAGCACTCATGCCCAGGGTGGAGCACCCTTAATCCTAGCATTGTACCGAGAATCAATCCCAGCATCACATCCTTAATCCCAGCATCACACACTAGATCCAGCCACCTTTGAAAAGCCCCCCCTGTGACTGCATGAGGCTTTGGGGATATGTAGATACAAGCCATAACAGTGCCCATTGTTGGCATTCAAAAGTCAGTTCTAAGTATTCTTCCTTTGTGAATAGTCTACCTTTTGCATTTTGCTGTTTCGAAGATTTTCTTTTTGCATTTGTGGGTCTTAATTTGAATTCTGACATTTCTGGAAAATTCTTAGCTATTTTCAGATATTGTCTTTTCTTTTTTTTTTTTTTTGGTTTTTCTCCGATACCGGGAACCGAACTCACGACCTTGCGCTTGCCAGGCAGGCGCTTTTGCCGCTGAGCTAAATCCCCAGCCCCCTGTCTTTTCTTTATTGTCTGCTTTCTCCTGCATTTCATACATGTCAGGCTTTCTCATCTGCATCCTTACTTTTGTTTTCTTTCTCTTTGTTTTTGTGTGTAACCTTTTGCATAACTTTAGTTGGATCTATTTTCTAGTTCTCTGTTGTACTCATTTGGTTTTAAATTTTAACTTAAGAAATTTAGAGATTTTTGTTTGCCTCTTTCTCTGATTTACCCGGCCAATTTCTTTTTCTTTTTCTTTTTTTTTTTTTTTCTGAGATAGGGTCTTGCTATGCAGTTGAGGCTAGCCTTGAGCTCACTTTGTAGCCCAGGCTGGCCTCAAACTCACAATGATCCTCCTGCCTCAGCCTCCCGAGTGCTGGGATTACAGGCATGAGCCACCATGCCCGGCTACCTGGCCAATTTCTGTAGTTCCTTCTGTCTTGTTCATATTTTTAACTGTTTATTTCCTAAGCCTTTAAACATCTCTTGTACTGTATCAGGTCTTTTCAGCCTCTTAAAAGTTCTGAGGATTTGTTTTTGCCTTTTGTTTTTTCTGCTTTCAGGTATTAGTACCTTATTTTCTATGTTCTGTGACTTTATTTATGTTTGCTATGAGGTCATGTATTTTGAAAATTTATCAACAGAAATTCTTTTTTTTTTTTGTCTTTTTTGAGACAGGGTCTTGCTGTGCAGTTCAAGCTGCCCTTGAGCTCACTTTGTAGCCCAGGCTGGTCTTGAACTCACAATGATTTTCCTTCCTCAGCCTCCCAAGTGCTGGGATTACAGGTGTGCGCTACCACGCCTGGCTCAACAGAAATTCTTTGTCTTGATTAAAGTTGCGTTGATTGATTGATTGGGTGCTGGGCACAAAACTCAGGACCTCACGCTTGCCAGGCAGGCGCTGTGCCCCTGAGCTATATCCCTGGGCCCAAAGTTGCATTCTTTTACAAGAGGATTTGTTTCTTGCATTTCTCTAGGAAGCTGTATTCCTAGTTTGAGGATTTTGAACTAACTGTAGATAGCCTGGATTCAGTCTACAAATCTGTGTGAAGGCTGGCTTAAGGTTGTAAATTCTTTGGGAAAACCTTTTCCACTTAGATCCATAGCTGCCTTCTTTCCCCTTTGTACGGCACACATAGCTGTATTTTTTTTTTTTTTGTCTTTTTGAGACAGGGTCTTGCTATGCGGTTCAGGCTGGCCTTGAGCTCACTTTGTAGCCCAGGCTGGTTTTGAACTCGCAACGATCCTCCTGCCTCAGCCTCCCAAGTGCAGGGATTACAGGTGTGTGCCACCACGCCTGGTTATATATAGCTCTATTTTTAACCTTGAAGGTATAATTCTGTGGTTCTCAGCTTTAAATGGGGATCTCCTAGATTGCCTGCTTTGGATGGGGCTGGGCCTCATCTGTTGTCTTTGGTACTCTTTGAAGTGTCAGAATGGAATGATAAAGTCTCTAGGGTTTGGTAAGTGGCTTCAAGGAAGAGTGTGGCTTCATTGCTTGCTTACTTCCCAAGGTTGCAGTTTTCATTTAGCTTTGTTCTCTGAAGATTGATTATTTTGTTCCCATACAACCTTGAACATGAAAATACATTTAAATTTTTGTTTTATTTTATTTTTTTGTTTGTTTTTCTGGTACCGGGGACCGAACTCACAACCTAGCGCTTGCCAGGCAGGCGCTGTGCCGCTGAACTAAATCCTCAGCCCTTTATTTTATTTTTTATTTTTAAATTTTTTTATATTTAAAATTTTAAATCGTGCTTTTTAGGTGTTTTTATTAAGAGGGCAATTGGCCATGCTGCTGGAATCTAAGTATGAAGCTTAAAATAAAATTAGGATCTCTTCCTGTGCTTTGTTTTTCTATAGTATTTAACCCCTAAGTGATTGAACTTATAAAATGAAAAGCATTAAAAGAAACAGGGGGTGGGGACATAGCTCAGCAGCACAGCACCTAGCTGGCAAGCACAAAAGTCCCTGTACCAAAAAGAAAAAATCCTGGCTTTGCTACTTAACACTTGAGGTGATAGTAAGCTGTCTGAGCTTAGTTTTATAGTGACTTAGATGGAGATAGTGTCAGCTCAAAGGCATTATTATGAGAATCGAATAACACAACATTTGAAGTATACAGTGCTAGGCTAAGTACACCTTTAGTAAATACAAATTCTCTTTCATTTTGAATGATGGAAAAATTATCATCAGTCTTTGGGTACTGTAAGTACATTTTCTCTTTTTCATTGTTCATTCTTTAGACCACTTTGTGAAGTCTGACTAACCTGTTAGGGTGGCTTGTGAGGGATATTGCTTTGGGAATTCTGTTTTGGGGATCAGTTAGATTCCCCTGTAACCTGGTGTTTGCCCTACTACTAGTTTATTTAACATTTTATTTCAGATGCACTGTTACTAGGATATTATTCTCCCATTTTTTCACTTCAGGTATTTACAGAGAGAAAACCAAGTGTATAATCTGTATTCTAATACTGTAGACTCAATGTCTTACTCATCATAGTTTTTAATGTTTTGTCTTTTGTTTTGTAGTGTTGAAACTAGAGAATCTGTTTATAGGTGATTCGGGTCGATATTTGGCGATTCAGTTTCATCTGGAATGTGCATATATATTTTTATACTATTACGAGTATAAAAAAGCAAAAGATCAGTTCAATATTGCTAAAGACATTGGCAAATTGCATATTGATTTGACAGGTAAGACTACCTTTTGTGAATAAATGATTTTATTTTTATAATCAAACCAGTATATATATTGGCAGTTAGTACTGTATGCTAGTGTTTGATTTTCTGTAGCCTATTCTGTGCTTTATAAAAATAGATTTTTAAAGATCTTAGAGTTCATATTTTTATGATAAATTAGACGTTAAATTTTTCTTTGTTCTCAGAGAATCCCCTATTCCCCTTAGGTACATGTTTGTAATAGGTAGCAGTCAGGCAGGGCACAAATGAGCTTTGACCATCTGGTCCTTGGCTTTGCCTCTGAAGGCCTCCCTTGACTGCTGCGTAGCTTGGTCTCTCCGCGTTGCCCCTCCTTGCAAATACCTTCTCTTGCTTCCATTCTGTTTGTCTTGTATTCCTTGTGAGCAGATGTTTCCTCAGTGCCTTAGGACCTTGTCTGGCGTATTATAGGCACTCAGTAAATATGTGCTGAATGAATGAATGAATGAATGGTAGAATTTCTCCTAAAACTTCCATGTTTTTTCTGAATGCCAAGTAAGATTTTTTTAATATATTGCTGTATCCTTAATATATTACTATATAATTGGCATTCAATATTGAATAAATTAATTAGAGTCATAAATTATTGATTGATTCCCTAGTCATACCTGTTAAATCTGGACTGAGCATCTTAGGATATGAGTACTTGTTTGTAAATGTTGAAATGCTTGAACTTATTTGTCCCCGCAGAGTTAGATCTAGATTCTAAGGCTTGTTCTTAGCCCCCAAATTCAGTTGCACTTATTGAGCTAGTGTTAATCAATAAACTCCTTTAGATATGTTATGGATTAAATATGACTTCATGGTGGTGAGCTGATGATGCAGGCCTGTAATCCCAGCAGTCTGGGAGGTTGATAAAGAGGATTGCAAGTTTGAGCCCAGACTGGGTAATTTAGCAGCTGAGTGAGACCTTGTCTCAAAATTAAAAAAACAAAAGATTCAAGAAAGTACAGAGGATGTAAAAGGCCGTGGGTGCAATCCCTAATATTGGAGAGAAAAAAAAGACTGTGGGCTTGTCTGGGATTTTAGCTACCTTTTATTATGTTGTATGCAGAAAGTTATTTAATATCTACCTTACAACTTTTGGGACAATGCCCTGTATAAGTTGGAGTCTTGTCTGTATTTAAAAATACGGTTTTATATGTATAACAGGTGAGTTTAGTTCCAGAGATTGTTTTTAAATATTTCAGTCTTAACAGACTTTCCTGGGACTGTCCGGAAACTCATGGCACAGCAGTCTAGTATATTCAGCTTTAACTGTTGGTGTATTTACCATCAGGTTTTCTTATTTTTTTTCCAAGTTAGGAGTGAAGAACTTAAAAATGTGATGGTGTTCATAAATACAAAATGAGAACCAGCCCCCCGCCCCCACGCCTCACTTACTATGAAAACATAAGCTGTGTTAAAACATTTCAGTGGCTATCTTTGGCATAGCATGTTTAAAAAGTTGATGCATAACTTACAGCCAGACACATCAAAGGATAAAATCCAGACTTTTCAGACTAGTCTTTGTAATCAAGGGTCTTTGTAATCTGAGATTTTCCAGAGAATGACTATTGAAACCTTTCCTTCTCTAAAGTGGTCTGAAACAGCTACTTGGCAGCATATCATTTCAGACACATTAAAAAAAATGGGTGTCACGTAAATCCAGGTAGAGTACTATGCTAGACTGTGCAGTTTAGAGCCTGAAAAGTATAGCTTTAAACTTGGGCCCTGATGCAGAGGATCTTTTCCCCAGAGCCTCCATTTTTTCATCCGTTATATAGAGATAAGGGTAGTTCCTTCCCCACAGCACTTAGTGAGTTATTCCTTTTTGCAGAACAGTTTGGTGCAAAAGTGAGTGTGAGAAGTCTAGTGGCAGAAATACTGGGTTTGAGTCCTGTGCTATTGCTTATTGACTTTGTGATGTTGTAGGTTGTGTGTCATTTTAACATCACTGGCCATTAGATTTCTGTTATGTGAAATTAAGAAAACACCTGACTAGCTCTAAAGCATTGTGAAAGCATTATACTGCATGAGTGTACTATAGATCTGACTGACAAGTCTATAGATATAATTTCATTTTATTTTTTCAGGTGCTTTAGGAAAAAGAACACGATTCCAGGAAAATTATGTAGCACAACTGATTCTAGATGTAAGAAGGGAAGAGGGTGGTCTTTCAAACTGTGAATTCAGTCCCGCACCCACCCCTCAGGAACATTTAACCAAGGTAAGTGAGACTGGAAGTTACTTAGTTGGGTTCACACCCAGGTCTGTTAACAGTAGGTGAGGAGGGTAGAACACAGAGAAAGAAGGGTGGGAAGAGACCTCATTTTGTGTCCTTTCGAGTCTGTTCAAGGTAGCTGGGAGAACAGTGTTGAAGACTTTAGTTTTTTACCCTTAAGGAGAAATAGATTGTATTTTTCTTGTAGAATTCAATACATATGAATTAATAATACAATCAGTTGTGTATGACCCCCTTGAAGAGGTAAAAAGGCAGACTGAGGAGAAACTGATTTTTCTAGCTGCTACCGTATTTTCACTCTACTTTTGCTTTCTGTGGTTGTTTTTCAACAGGCAGAGACTTGGGATTTCTTTGGCTTCTTCTAAATACCTAAATCAATTATCAACATTCCTTTTCATCAGTTTTATGATCTCCCTTTTGTTACTCTGTCATTATTGGGTTGGTTATTTCCTTAGTATGTTTTTTTGACATGTCTAATGAATTTTGTCCTTGTAGCTAAATTTATGATCTTGATCAGGTTCTACTTATATGTCTCTCTAGCTGCTTCCATGGGTGCTACTAGCATTTATATTCTTTATTCCCAAGATGTCACACCTACAGTTTTGGTTGTCGTTTGATTAATTTCCGTCTTTAAAGCCCATGTTTTGCTACTCTGCACAAGGCATAGACTGTGCTATGGGAAGGATGTGGAGCCATGACTGGACAGGGCTGTGTTCCACTGGGGTCGGCCGCGGTCAGAGAACTGCTCCTGCCTGCTTCCATCCTTATTTCCTCCTTACGTGTTTGGGCCCCTCCTCACCTACCTGTCTAAGCCTGAGTGAACTGTCATAAGCTTGATTTTGAAGTCAGAGCACAGCATCTATGAACAGTGATTTAGTTCTCAAATCTAAGTGTTTTATTTAGTAATTTTTTTTTTGTTTTACTGTGTTCTATTGAAAATTAGCTTTTGTAATGATAAATGATACGGCTCTTGTAAGGAATGTGTAAAATATGTAATTAATGTAGAACTTACTTAATCTTTCATATTTGAAGTAAAATACATTCAGAAATCTTACAATCTTTGCTAATTATGACTTAATTATTAGTTAATAGCAAGTATTGCAAGTATTAATAGCAAATATTAGTTGTGTGATATAGATATGGGATTAGATAGAAGCAGCTTTATTCTCATGAACAGAAGGTAGACGCATTTGTTAACTATATCATCAAATGTGGTGGTGCAGGCTTGTAATCCCAGTAACTCAGGCTAAGGCAGGAGGATTGCAGGTTCAAATCCAACCAGGGAGAATAACGAGACTTTGTCATCCTCAAGTATAGTCTGAGGTGAAGCTCAGTAGGGAAGTCTTGTCTCACTTGCCTGAGGCCTGGGTTCATTCCCCAGTACCACCAAAAAACCAAATCAAACCAAAGACAAAAATCATTATATATCATTTCCTTTTTTCTAACATATTATAAAATTTACTATGTATTTAATAACTACTCTTCTAGGCAAAAAAGCACGATATCAATTATAGTGATTGCAGAAATATATCCTGATTAGAAATGTTACAGTATGGGAATACACCTTGTAGAATTGTGGATATACAGTACTTTTATTGCCAGTGAGGAACACAGTATTTTCCCTTTGAGCTTTCTTACAATCTGCTGTTTTTGGAGAATTACATAGCCTAAAGCTATTGGATAGCAGGGTACAATAAACCAACAGTATGAGCAACACCATTGTGTAAATCTAGCACGCTGTCTCTGGTATTCTTTAATGTTCACCTGTTGGAGGGACAGGAAGGAGAATAAGTTAAAAGGTATATTCACAGCAAACAGAGATACATACTTGCTCAGCTGCGTCTGACAAGAAGTGCACATTAGATGCTGAATATGTTGCGTCTAACATATCGGTGGAAGATTGTGTTCTGATTTCTTGATTCAGTAGAACGCTGAGGCCCGAGTGGGACTAAGATGGAGCAATATTTAACTACAGGGACTAGTAGAAACTCGGACCTAAACAGTTACTGTAGTAGGCCATTTCCATTGCAAAAGTATTTGAAGAGGAACATAGAGAATCTGGAATAAAGATTCAAACTATTTTGTTCGCCTCACTGTATCTGGCAAATAACTCCCTGTGGCTAACATGACGTGGCTCGGGTCTTCCGGGGTGAGGGAAGGCGTCCTGGGCTGGGAGGAGAGAGAGTGTGTTCCTGTAACATCCTCACTGCCAAGCCTCGGGTTGTTTCCTCGTGTGTTTTTGCCCACATTGCACTTTTTAAAGATGCGATGAGGTCAGATGTGTAAAGGCAGTCTACAAATGTGTTATAAGACATAGGTTGTCGGCAAAAGCAAGTTGATACAACCTGGAGGGATATTGACAGGTGAGCGTTTTGGGACACTCTCGAGCCACACTGCCTACCATGGCAGCCACATGTGACAGTGGAGCGCTGGAAGGCTGGTGGTCCAAACAGAGATGGGCCTTAAGTGTGAAATACACACTGTGGTAATGACTGTATGAAAAAAGTATGTAAAGTATCTAATTAATAATGTTCTTTTTTTTACATCTTACAGGAATAATGTTTTTGATGTATTGTCATTTTATTTTTTAACACTTTATCTGCATCAGGGAATTTTAAAATATATATGTGATTCTATTTAAAAAGTTATGCAAGGCCTGTGGTGATAAAGGAGGGCCACCAGGGTGTGCTGTGTACCTGTCTGCCCTGCCTAGGACTGCTCATTCAGGGAGGAGCTTCTGCATTGGGAACTGAGGAGTGGCTTCAAATTTTGTGTTCTTTCAGGTCACAGAATCCCCAGGGATTTGGTGGGGGTTGCAGTCCTGTTTTTTGAAACCTTGTAGGTGGAGGATAGGTCTAGAGTTGGGGAAAACAAGGAAGCTGCCCCTTTGGCCTGTGATTTGGGCAGATGAACTGTTCCTCTCCCCCCCGTCTGCAAGCAAGTTTATGAGGAGCAATTTATATAAAATGCACATGCAAGTTTATTTATTCATTCATTTATTTTGAGACGCGGTCTTGCTGTGTAGCCCAGCCTGGCCTCAAACTTGCGGCAGTTTTCTTGGGTCAGCCTCCTATGTGCTGCAATTACAGGTGTGTGCCCCATGCCTGGCTCTAAAATGTACTTATTCTAAATGTACAGTTGGATGAGTTTTGAAAAATACATGGAGCCTTATAATCCCCACCATAATGAAAATGTAGAACCATTGAGAAAGCCCTCTAGCATTCCTTTGTAATCACCTTTCTCCCACTGATCACAGATTAGATCTGCTTTTCCTAGAATTTCATATAGATAGAATCATATTATGTACTTTTCTGTGTTTGACTGCTTAGCATATTTCTGAGATTCATCCATCTTGTAATACCACTAGTTGACCTCCGTTTACTTTTATTTTCTCATGATAAACACTGCTTTATTGGTAGCAATTAGTACAAGTCAGTAGATAGTGATCACCAAGGAAGAGCTCATTTGTCATATACCTGGTCTGGAGAGCCGACTGGAACTGAGCCACATGATTGCTGCTTTGACTGATGTCATTCCAGCCTCTTGGGAAATGATGCCATAGCCAACTGATAGATGGCATGTGTGGGCCCACCGGCTGTAAGAATCAGTGGCTCTGTTCCAGAGGGCATGAGCTACCCCACGCTTTAGATGGATTGGAATTCCATTGTCCTCCTGAAGCAGCTTTTGTTTCTGTGGAACTTTATTTTTAAAACGCCTGTGTGAAGCAGTACTGATGGTCCCTGGGCAGTCTATCAAAGAGGCAGCAGATTCTGTACGTCTTGCCCCGGTTACAGCCCACCAGCCACTGACCGCTGTTTGCTGCTGAGTAATATTTTATTGATGGGTAAGCCAGCATGATTTATTCAGCTGTTGGTGTACCTTGGAGTTGTTTTTGTCTATTATAGTAGTTACTATGCATAGAGCACTTTGGAAAGATTGTATGTTGGAGTCTTTTGAGTAAACATATTTTTAATTCTCATGGGTACTTAGGAATGGAACAGCTGGGTTGTGTGGTAAGTGCATTTTTAACTCTGAGACAGTACCAAACTCTGTGCAGTTTTACCTTCCTGCGTCCACGTGTGCATGCCAGGTGCCCTTCATTCTCGCCAATACTTGGTGTTGTCAGTCTTTCCTTTTTACCTTCCTACTGAGTGTGGTTGTGGTTTTCCTTTTTTCTTTAGTGATTCATTTTTTAAAAGTCACTTTTATGGAGGCATATCTTACAGAAAATTGACCCATTCTAATTGCACAATTTAATGTTTGACAAGTATATACACGTACCTAAGCATTACAGTCAAAATAAGTTCCATTACTCTAGAGAATGCCGTTCTACACCATTGCAGTTAATTCCTACCCTGGCTGTGAACAACCACTGTTCTGTTTTCTGTAACTACAGGTAGTTTACCTTTGTAGAATTTATGTAAATGGGCATATATAATATGTACTCTTTTATAGCTAGCCTCTTTTCTAGCATGATTTTTTTGAGATTTATCTGTCTGGTTGAATATATCAACTATGTTTTTGAGATTTATCTGTGTGATATGCATATTACCAAACAGTATTTTTTATTTATTAATGAATAGTATTTTTATTACTGAATACTATTCCATTGAGTTTGGGGCTATTACAAATAAAGCCATTATGAGTATTTATGTATGTATATTTGTGTGAGTATATTTCCATTTCTCTTGAGTAATTATTTAGGAGTGGAATTAATGGCTCATATGATAAATATATATTATAAGAAACTGGCAAACTATTTTCTGTGGTGGTATCATTTTTATATTTCTACTAGCAGTGTATGAAAGTTCTAATATTTCCAGATCCTTGCCTGCGTATAGTATTGTCACCCTTTTAATTTTAGCCGTTCTAATGTTTATTAGTATTTCTGTGTTTATTATTGTTGACAAATTTTTTGTGTGCTTATTAGCTCTTTATATATCTTCTTTTATGAAGTGCCTGCACAAATTTTATTTTATTTTTATTTTTTAGACAGGGTTTTGCCATATTGCCCAGGCTGGCCTTGAATTTGCAACCCTCTTATCTCAGCTTCCCAAGTGGGTGGGATTACAAGTGAGCATTGACTATGCCTGTCTTGGTTACTTTTCTCTCATTGCTGAGACAAAATACCTGACACCCAGAATTAGGGAAGGAAAGGTTTATTTAGCTCACAGTCTGTGGAGGTTTCAGTCCATACTCGGCTGGCTCCAAGGCAGGGTGGCACATGGCAGAGGGCAACTGTTCATGGCAGCAGAAAACAGCAAAGCAACAAGAGCAAAAGGGAGGAGTTGCGGCAAGCAGCCTCTTTCCCTCCCTTATATTGTATGCAAACTATCTGCTGCAGGGGGAGTGTAGCACTCACACCCATAATCCCAGCATTGGACTATGTGTGTGTATAGATATATTTTTTTTCTTTTTTTTTTTTTGGTCTTTTTGAGACAGGTTCTCACTATGCAGTTCAGGCTGGCCTTGAGCTCACTTTGTAGCCCAGGCTGGTCTGGAACTCACAATGATTCTCCTGCCTCAGCCTCCTGAGTACTGGGATTACAGGCGTGCACCACCACGCCTGGCTTTAGCATTGGACTATGGATCAGTCAAAAATCTAAAGAGAAGCCCGCCCCATGACTGCATGAGGATTTGGGGGGACATGCAGACACAAGCCATAACAATGCCTGTGCAAATATTTTGCCCATTTTTATTCTTTTTTGTTTGTTTTTGAGACAGGGTCTTGCTATGTAGTTCAGGCTGGTGCTGAATTTACTATAGAGCCCAGGTTGGCCTTGAACTCACAGTAATCCTCTTGTGTTAGCCTCTTGAGCACTGGGATTACAGGTGTGCACCACCATGGTTGGCCTTTCGCCCATTTTCAAATTGGCTTGCTTGTCTTTTTATTACTGAATTCCTAGAATTCTCCATATTCTGAGTAAAAGTCGTTTTTCAGATAAGTTTTATGACTATATTCTTTAGGTTTGTAGCTTGGTTTTTCATTTTCTTAACAGTGTTTCCAAAGAGCACAACTTCAAAATTTAATAATATCCAGTTTATTGAGTTTTTCTGTGTATTTTTTTTGCATGTCTTAAGGAATATTTGCCTATCCCAAGACTGTCAAGATTTTTTTTTTATGATTTCTTTTAGAAGTTTTCTTTCTTTTTTTTTTTTTAGTTTTAATTTTAACGTCTACTTTGAAGTTCTATGATTAATTTTGATTTAATTTTTGGATATGGTATGAGATAAAGGTGAAGGGTTATTTTTCCCAAATGGAAGCTGTTTCAGCATCATTTATTGAAAAGATTGTACTGTTCAATCGTCTAGGTATTTTTGTTGACAAGTCAGTGGACCATACATACATGGGTCTTAAATTCTGGACTGTTATTTTCTTCCATTCCTTTATGTGTCTGGTTTTATGCCATTACCACACTGTCTTGGTTTTGTAGTCATTCTTGAAATCAGTACTTTTTTTTGGTGGTGTTGGGGCCTAAACCCAGGGCCCTGAACATGCCAGGCAAGTCTTCTACCACAGAGCCACATCCCTGGCCATTAAGTACTCTTTAAGGGTTCAGATTTTATTCTTTTTCAGTTTGTTTTGACTGTTCTAGGTCCCTTGCATGTCTATACAAATTTCAGAATCATTTGGTCAGTTTGGTCTTTCTATCATTAATAATTAATGACATATAACGTGTCACAGCTGGTCACACTGTATTGTTGAGAAGTTGATGTTTTAGATGAGAATTTAGAGGTAGAAAGAAAGACGGGGCTTTGAAATATGATGTTGCCACATGCTGTGAATGTGACTTTGGATCACCTTTTTAAATTCTTTATTCCTTCATCCATAAGTGGTTGTGGAAATACCCATGGTTATTTTCAGGATGAGTAGGAAAATAAACGTGAATTTTCCAGCAGAGATATTTTTTGCATGTAAGGCTCAACCAATATTAGTGTTATTCTCACTGTTATTGTCAGTGCAGTTCAGAAGTATAAATGGCACATTTTCCATTTCTACAAGGTAAATTATCCTCAAATACATATATCATAAGACATAGTTTATTCACCATATATAGACATTATATAATCTTAAACAAAAAGATAAGTTACTATTACCCCTACTAGCCATGTGTGACATACACTTCCATTTAGTGAATCAAATTAATTTTTGGTCTAAATACCCTCTTTTTTTATTCCACCAGAACCTTGAGCTCAATGATGATACTGTTCTGAATGAAATAAAGCTAGCAGATTGTGAGGAGTTTCAGATGCCTGACCTATGTGCTGAGGAGCTTGCTGTTATCCTTGGAGTCTGGTAAGTTGCATATTGTTTCTCCCTTGTTTGGGGAAATCCTTATTTAAGAAGGTCCAAAAAGTTCTAGATAATAGGGATTTGTAGTACTTCTGAAGATAGAGAGGGAATTCTTGGGCAGCCCATTAAAGGCTTAGAGAGTAGGAATATCCTGTAAGTTGGTACATTCATTCGTCTCTTTCCTTCATAAATGGAATTTGTTTGGTTAATCTTGGCTAGGGATAGATTCTTAATAGTAAGTATTAGAAATAAGTGAGTGCCTGTAATTCTAGTATTCACGAGGCTGAGACAGGAGGATCATGAGTTTGGGGTTAACCTGGACCCCACAGCAAGTTTTAGACAAGCCTGAGCCACACTGTTATAGTGAGACCCTGTCTCCCCCCACCCCTCCCCCCACAAAAAAGATGAAATGACTATTTTCACCTCTGAGAATATTGATAGAATTAGTTTTTAATGCTGTATAATTTTAGGTGCCATGGAAATAATTTTTCAGTTCTGTCTTACTTTTCTCATTGCTGAGACAATACCTGACACCCAAAGAGGGTGCAAAGGATTATTGAGAGAATAAAGGTGTATTTAGTTTATTAGTTTTAGAGGTTTCAGTCCATAATGGGCTGGCTTCAAGGCAGGGTGGTGAGGCTGACAGGCATTGTAGAGAAGAAGCAGTTCTTCGTGTGCAGAAGGTGGCAAAGCAGCAAGGGCGGACCACAGCTCCTTCCGTCCCTTATATCTCATCCAGGCCACTTAGGGCAGGCAGTGCTCACATCCTTAATCCTAGTGCCCTCGACCCTCGCATTGCACCGTGAATCAGTTCCAGTGTCACACACTGTAGTCCACCCACCTCTGAGAAAGCCCCACCTATGACTGCATGAGGCTTTAGGGGGACAGCTAGTCATAAACTATAACAGTTTCTTTTCTACTTTGAAATAATTTCAAACTTGAAAAAAGTTGCAGGAGGAGGGCAGTGCAGAAACGTTTGAGAATAAGTTTCTAACACAATAATTTGTCATTCTTGAATACATTAGTGTGTTTCCAACAAATAGCAGCATTTATGTGGCCACAGTACTGCTATCAAAATCAGAAAATTAACATTTAACATTATTGTCATTTAACCTGTAATCCCAGCACTTAGTAGGCAGAGTCAGGAGGATCACTGTGAGTTCGAAGCCAATGTTAGTGAGACCCTGTCTCAAAAACAAAAATAACAGCAATAACAACAAAAAACCAAAAACCCCTTTTACTATAGTAATTCTCCGACCCATTCTAATTTTCTCGATTGTCCTAATAATCTCCTTTAGAGGAGGTGGTACAGTCTAGAGTATGTGTGTTCTGTTTAGTTGTCATGTATCTTTAGTCTTTGTCAATTTGGAATAGGTTTTTTTTTTGCTTGACATTCATGACCTTGACATTTGAAACTTACAAGGCAGTTATTTTTAAGACCTTCCCACAATGTGAGCTTGTCTAATTTTAATGATTAAATTTATTTTATACAGTATTAACAGAGATACCAGAGGAATAAAGTTTTGTGGTTTTCCTTGTTTCCTAGGAAGTAGAAAACGATTTGATTTGTTCTACTTCTGGTGATATTAACTTTGGCCACATACCTGTACAGTGGTCACTTACTAGGCTTTTCCTATGTAAAATTATTTTGTTCTTTTCCTCCCAGATACGAACAGTAGGTTTTCATTTATGCAAAAGTTGAATTCATTTCTATAGTCCCTTTTTTATATGCTCAAGAGGGACCACACACATGGGGTTCTAGTTCTAAGTCCGAGGCAATTGTCCTGTGACGTTATTTGATTCGTGACAGAATTTGTGTTTACTATAAAAAATTATTTGTTCAGTTCATGATACATAATCTTTCAATATGAATAGCTGTGATTTATGAGCAATACTATGCACTAGGCATTATACTTTGTATTTTACATTGTCTTACTAATATTCTAACAACATTAAGGATTATTATTTTTCTCTGTTTTTTAAATGGGAAAACAGGGTTCACATGGCTACATGACTTGCTCAGAATTACAAAGCAATGATTAGGATTTGAATTTGCATTTAATTGATCCCCAATTTTGAGTTCTTCACTAAGCTGTTTTAGAAAATGTTATTTTGACAAATTCATAATTGTCAGTTCATCAGGAAATTAAAGTAAACCAAATAAATGTGGGCATTCTGTCAGTTGAACTTTAGAAATGGTGAGTTAAACTTTACAGTTGAGGGAATGACTAAGAAAATGCTGACTTTCAACTACAATTTGCTTATCTTCAAATGCTTCAAATACTATTTTCTTCCCAGATAAGATCTCAGTGTGTTCAATGTAGATAACAGATGAAAGAGCTGAATGGATTTCCTAAGCAGTTTAAGTCTTCATTGTGTAGGAGAAACTGCTTATTTATTTCTGAATCTGAGAGCATTTGATGCAGTTTATAAATGTTTAGTTACAGCATCGATGAACTGATCATTCATATGAATGGAGTTACGGTGTCTGATCTTTGTTGAGCCCCATGGCCACCAACCAAAGAGGGGGCTTGGACACTGGTAGGTGGGGCTGTTTGGAAAGGAGACTGGAAGAAGGTGAATTCTTACGGCCTGGACGCTGCTCACATCGCGGACGGCCCTGCTTCTTCCCTAGACTCTTCCCTTCCACTGTCTCCTCCTTGAATTTGATTTTTACCTAAAGACCAAGCACTGGCGCTTGCCCCGATGTCTCTTACTCCTCAGTGGACCTGAATGCTTTCATGTATAGGCATTATGGGAAGAGTTCCTTAAAATATAGCAAGCTTTGAGTAGCTCAGATGACTTAATGGGGAAAGGCAATTCCCTTTACTTTAACAGTGTGATTTTCAAGTGTGTATTATGTTAAATTATGCTGAATAATGGTGACTCAATTCAGTGACTATGTCATAATTGTTATTTCCTCCTTCCCCTTTCCCTCCCTCTTTGTCTTCCTCCCCCTCTCTCTCTTTCTACGGGTCCCTCCCTCCCTCCCTTCTTTCTCTTCTTTTTTTTCCCTTCTTGGTGCTGGGAGTGGAACCCAGGGCCTCATGCACGCCAAGCATGGATATGCAGCTGAGCTACACCATCAGTTCCTTTTATAAATATTTGTAGCAAGCTGTAACATTTCACTTTATCTGTATAACTTTATGTAATACATTATAGAATTGGAATTTTTATATGAGAGATGAACTTGCTCCATTTTGGATGATCTCTTATCTGGAATGACTATTTTCAGTGCTGAGAATAGAACCTAGGCCCTTTGCAGCGACCTACATTGCCAACTCTGTTTTGAGACAGTATTTTACTAAGTTGCTGAATTGTCCTGGTTGAGCCCACACTTGAAATCTTCCTGTCTCAGCCTCCCAAAGTGCTGAGACTACAGGCATGTTCCCCCACACCCAGCATCATTGTTCTTGTCTTTCCTCTTTTTTTTTTTACTAGCAGTAAAAATAGGCTCCTTTAAATATTATGTATAAACATTTCATGTTTATTATAAAATGCTCAAGCAGTATTGAAAATTGAGAAGAAGTATTTTACAAGGTGATGTTTTCTTTTCATTCTTGATATATGTACTATTTATATACAAAGTAATTAATATAATATATAAATTTAAATTATGTAATATAGCTAGGCATGGTGGTATATGTCTCTAGTCCCAGGAGTCTGTGAGGATCACAAGTCTGGGCTACATAGTAAATTTGAGACTTGCCTGGACCATGCCTGAAACAACAACAAAAGGTTTTATAGTGTAATAGTAAAATGGACACTGGTGAATTACCACACAGTTTAAGAACTAGATTACAAATCCCTAGCCCAGCCCGTGTACTTTTTCTATATTTCATTCTTTTGCCTTCTCAAAAGAATATGCTATTGTTAATCTTGTGTGTGTCATTTTCTTGCCTTAAAAAAAACTTAGTCTCATATTTTATATAACTGCTTCAGTTTTCCTTTTTTGAGCTTTATAAAAGTGTTATTTTATGACATATGGTTTACTTTTTTCCTCTCATTATTTTGTTTCTGTGATTCATGTTGTTATCTGTAGCTGCCATTAAATTTTCAGGGTAGCGTTTCATTGGATGGCTATATTGCAATTTATCATTTTCCCTTGGACATTTGGGTTGTTTTCAGATTTTTCCTGTTATACACAGTCTCACTGTGGATATTTATGTTTGTCGTGCCTGGTCCACCCATTCATTAATTTCTCTGGGTTGAGGCTCTGTGAATGTTCACTATACAAGACAGTGCCAAATTGTTTTCCAAAACGGTTCTGCTAGTTGTACTTGCATCAGTGGGATCTTAGAATTTCTATTGTTTGCTCCTTTGACAGCATCATAACTTTTGCTTATCTAGTTGTTAAGGCAGTACATTTTTATAGCGTAAGTTTAATGAAGGGGAGCTGGAGCCACACTCATGCATTTGATTTTCTTTGCTGAGCAGCACAGACTAGATTTCTTCTTTCTAAGAAGATAAGTTATACTGGCATTAAGTGCTTCAGCCACATTTTATTTGTCAGCATTTTATTACTTTTTATACTTCGCTTTGGCAAAGTCATTTCTACATGTGTCTATAGTGCCATATTATTATACTCTCTGCTCAGAGATATAAAATATAGCAGTTTATTTTTGTTTGAAAATTATATTTCATTAGCTGTTATGTTCAGCATTTTAGAATTAATACATTCCTTTCTGTAATTCTAAGCACAGATTTTCAGAAGAATAACCCAGTGCATAAATTGACTGAAGAGGAGTTGCTGGCATTCGCATCAGTGAGTAGCGCCTTTTTCCTTTCCATTTTGCTCTTTTTCCTTGTAAATGATTTTGCCTCTGGTGTTTGCCTCTTGCCTCAGATTGCTCATGTTGAAGCAGTGCCACCTGAGGAAAGTAGTGGGAAAAATTCTCATCGTTTTAGTTTCCAAGCTGCATGTTTCTTCCTGCAGATTTAAGCATAACCATTTTTTCTTTGTAGTTGCTAGGTTCTGAAGGCAGTGACCCAATTTCTTCATTCATTTAAAAAATCCTAGATCCTATACTATTATCTTGTGCATAATAGGGGCATATAAATATTTTTAAATGATTAAAAAAAATGACTTAAAGCCAGGCCTGAGGTGCATGCCTATAATCCCAGCACTCAGGAGGCTGAGACAGGAGGATCACTGTGAGTTCGAGGCCAGCCTGAACTATGTAGTGAGACCCTGTCTCAAAAAAACAAACAACAGCAACAACAACAACAACAACAAAAATAATGAAGTAGCAGAGCCAAAGTCTCTGTAGTGTTATGCATGAGACTGCGGGCGATGGCTGCTTGGTTGTGGTGAGACCTGGGCTGTGAGCAGGAGAGCAGCGTTTGCAGAGATCTGGGAAGAAGATGGCGTTGAGGGCATGGCGCTGCTCGTTAACATTCAGCAGTGTGGAGCAGTCAGGTGAGAAAGGTGGACGGAGAAGATGCTGTGAGATTTGACAGACTTTCTCCGTGGAATGTAGCAGTGCAGTGCTCTTTTTTAGCATGGTTTCAGTGGACTGCCAATAGTCACGTGCTTCTAGAGAAAGAGAATTAAGGAGGGAATTGGGTATAAGAAAATAAAGATTATAAATGAAGATCACAGCTGGAGAAATGAAGATCACAGCTTGGCGGTGGAAAGGAAAGATGGAGTAATAGGTGTTAGGATTTAACCACAGAGAAAGGTTTTCAAGAAGAAAGGGAGAGCTGAGCATGGTGGCATAGCACAGCTGTAACCCAGGAGTCTGGAAAGTTGAGGCAGGAGGATCATTAGTTTGAGTGCAGCCTTGGCAACTTAGTAAGACCCTTTCTCAAAATCAAACTAATGAAAGGGCTGTGATGTAGTTCAGTGCAAAGGCCTGGGCTCAAACCCGAGGGCAGGATGGAGCGGGGAGGGATTAGTTAGCTCTTTTTGGCTTTATGGGTTAAAAAAAAGGATAGATATGTGCGTTAATAAATACAAGTTTTTTACTATGTCTTTTTCAAAGGCATTTTTATTATCATAGAAATTAAGTTAGAATTCTGATCTTTTCTCCTTTGTTATTTTTTGGGTAAAGTGAAAGAAAGGGCTTCTATCTGGTAGAAAAGCTAGCTTTTCTGAAGTGTAATGTAAATTTTGCAAATTACTGTTTCCTGCACACCCTCTTGGACCTGGTTAGGTGTTAGTTACTGAGTCCTCTGGGTGCCTGTTTTATTTCCCACTTCAATATTAGAAATCTTGGATGTCTTTCTGTTACGTGTGCTTTAGGTAACCGTACAAATGTCCCTGCTTATTCATTACGTGTACTAAAAGGAATTTGGCAAGTGAAGTGGTAAAATTATTTGAAAAGCATATAAAAGACTTTTGTACACTTCATTTATTCATTCAGTTAGTAGCCCTTGATATGCGGGCTTTGTGATAGCCATTGGCGATGGGTCAGACAGTCCTTCCCATTCCAGGGTTTACATCAGTTTTCATTCTTGTGGGGAAAATACACAGTAGATAAAGAAAAATAGATGTCAGTAGAATTGCTAAGGAGGACGTACAGCAGGGTACGGGGCTGAGAATGGGCTGGGTGCAGCTGTTTTGGACAAGATAGCCTGGAAGGTGACGCTGAACACAGACCTTCCCACAGGGGAGCACAGTGGTGGGAACCAGCGTCTGGGACAGTTGTGAGCTTGAGTCAGTGTAGGGAAGTGCAGAGCTGCAGGAGGACAAAAGTCCAGGAAACAAATGACCTGGCGGCTTGAGTTCCTTCGGATGGCCGAGGTAAACGTGAACCCGGTGCATGAGACGCATTCCTGCGGGTCTCCCGGGGAGGTACTACCTGCTTCTTGGGCAAGTCATTGTGTTGTATGTGTTATCCACAGTTACCCTAAGGAACACCTGAACACTATATTCATTTACTTTTCTTTAGCACTTCTTGTGGGCAAGCATATCTTTCTTTTCTTTCAGGCTTTTTCTTTCATCTATTCTTGTTCCTCTGGACCGTGATGTACTTTTGCAGCCATTAACTGGCAGTTTTTGATGTTAGAGGACTCATCGTTGCCAGCTTGTGGTGAAGGTCACGAATTCAAGCTCCAAGGGCTTTTTTTGCACAGTTCTCTTCCCTTTTCTAGCTTTCTACCAGTCACAACGGACTGAAGGAGTCATTGACCTGGTTTGGATGGAAAGCTTTTTAATTGTAAAGTGACCCATAGTGCCAGGCCTGACTGTCCTAAAGAGGTGAATTTGTTAATCCCAAGTAAATCGTCCATTTCTAAGAAGTAGGGCAAAAAACTAGATGTAAAGAGGGCTTGCAGGAGCCTCAGCCCTACTATGTCCTTTTTTCTAGCCTAAATGAGACACAGAAAATATACCGGAAAAACCCAGGTCTGTCCTTGTCAGCTCTTCTGTTATATACCAGCCCTTCTTATCCCTTCTGTCCACATGATACCGAGGTGGACAGACAGTGAATTAGAACTGGCTCCTAGTTTCAGTGACAAAAGAAACTGTATACAGTTGGCCCTCAGTATCCATGGGTTCTGCCAATTATGCTCTCAAATATTTTGAAAAAAATTTTGTTTTATTTTTTATTTTTTTTTGAAAAAAATTTTGTTGTACTGAACACATATAGACTTTTTTCACTTGTCATTCTTCAAACAGTACAGTGTAAAAATTATTTACATAGCACATTATATTAGGTATTAGAAGTCACAAGGTCTTGATTTATAATATATAGAAGATGAGCATAAATTAAATGCAAATACTGTGGCAGGGAGTGGTGGCACACACCTGTAATCCCAGCACTTGGGAGGCTGAGGCAGGAGGATTGCCTGCGAGTTCAGGGCTAGCCTGGGCTACAAGGTGAGTTCAAGGCCAGCCTGAGCTGCATCATGAGATGCTATCTCAAAAAAGACGAAAAAAAGCAAATACTGTGGCATTGTATGTAAGGGGCTTGTGCATCCTTGTGCATTTTGGTATTTTCATGGTGCTCGGGACCATTTCATCCCCCATAGACACTGAGAGCTGTATCCTGTTAAACTTCAAGAGTATTTGAGATAAGAAGGACCACTTTAGGTGCTACTCTACTTCTGAATTCCTAGACTTTTTTCTGTGCCTCTCTTTTGGCAAGGGTCATTTTTTGGCTGATGATTATGTGTATGTCTTTCCTTCAGCAGATGATGAACTCCTAGCTTTAGAGACTTGGCTCTTCTTTTCTGGGCCCTTCCTGTGGCCGAGTACAGTGCTTGAATGCTTTATTCCTGGTTGTTGCTCAAAAAATGTACATAGAGTAAGAGAATAGCTGCAGTACTTACAGCCTCAGGATGGGGTTGATTTCTGCTTTGTAGCTGCATTGCTCTACTTAGTTCCATAATTTAGGTAGCGCTCCATCATTGTGAAGATGGCCACTTGTGTACTTTATATCTGCACCCTGTGCGGGGACGGGGTGACATGTCTCCCCTCAACACCGAAAGTTGTTTTGAGGATCAGAGTTCAGTGTATACAAAAGTGCTCCGCAGTAGGCAGGGGCTGGTGTGCTGCATGTTCAATGACGGGCAGGGCTGTTTGGTCCCTAGTTGGTACCGGAGCATCCTTATTTCTGAGCTGCTTAATGGGCAATATCTGTTTGGAATCGGCTGTCAGTATGATAAGCACAGCGGAGAAATCTTGCTGGGTGTCCATTTCCTTACTGTGATAACAGCTTGGTGACCAGAGACTGGCGTTCTGAACTGCTCGAGCTGTGAGCTACTTGTCTTCCTCTGTTGACAGAACAGCAAATACTAGAAGTCTTACTACCCAAAATCTGTCAGCCTGGGGGGAGTCAGGCACCATGGGTATTTGGCATTTGGTAAATCCTTATTGAGTAAACAGATGGGTGGCTTATTGATCCTGAATTTTGTTCAGTTGTTATGAACTTTCCTAAAGTTTACGAAAATTGTAGTGAACTCTCTTAGAGAACTTTTTGCTAGCATTTTCATGTTGCTGCAGGATGTGGATATATATGTGAGGTACGTTGGAAAATGTTTTCATTTGGTAATGTCAGAAGTGAATAGCTTTACTCAGTTAAAGTTGTCAGTGTGTAATACTATTCTTGAGAACTTATGTCTACAAGTTTCAGGAAAACTGAGTCATAGGAAATAAAAAAGAACCCATATTGTTTTAGAGAACGATTTATGTTATATTGGCCACATAATTTAAAATTAGCTGTGATATCTGTGTTATTTCCTTTCAGATGAGCCAAGTCAGTGATGTATAATAATGTTTTTAATTTCCTTTCATTGTTGAAAATGAGGACAATTTAGTTAATTCATACAGGTGTTTCAGTTTTCATTGGCAGAATTTTAAGTGTGAATGGATTCTGGCCGCTTTCCCCTGTCTCCCTCCCTGAAGCCCCAAGGTCTTTATAAATGAAAGAAGGAAAAGTCCTTTGGAAGTTTCACGTTGTATTGTGTGAACTTTTTCTTTCTGCCTTTTCTTTTTAAAGATGAGACTTGGTCTTGCTATGTTGCCTGGGCTGATCTCAGTCTCTTGGACTAAAGCAGTTCTTTTGCTTCAGTCTTGTGAATGCTGGAACTGCAGGTATGTGCCACTATGGCTAGCTCTGTTTGGTATTAGAGCTATTTCAGTATGCTTACCTGTGAATATAAAATTGTTCACTTGCCATTATTACAGACTAAATAATCGAGTTAGCGGTGGTACCGCTGATAGTTTGTGTTACTAAATTACTTAAGTACTTCACAATACAGAGGAACAGGCACAGGAAGACTTAAGCAAGATAAAACAAAAAGACCGTTCCTGCACATGGT